TTGTGTGGATTAACCAGCAGATTTGCCCCCGTGTGATAACGCCCTAGGACTCTTTCATTTGTTGGGCTTGCATTTCCTTGGTAACTTTGCCTGCCCCTTTCCTTTGGATGCCTAAACCTTATAGATAAATGCTTCACTGAAGTTTTAAGTAACTGCAATACTATGCTCTCTTTATGCCTTCCACATTCTACTTCTCTATCCTCCTCTTCCCTCTCCTTGCTGCCCTCTTCCCTGTATGCTTCTGTCCTTGCTTCCATTTCCCATAAGAATCCAATGTACTAAGCAATAAATCTTGCACTTGAAACAAATAATATAAGAGCTATGCAACATAGAGATGAGAGGCAGATGAAAAATTGGGAAATTGTAGTTTAGAATGTTGTAATATCTCTGGAAGGAAAAAAAATCAGAAGTCAGCTGTTAATAACAAACGTACAAATACTAGTTGGCACACATCATATCAATGCAAATAATGTATAAGGAGGAGACATCTTTGTCCTGTGAATACTGAAGAATGCTAATGTTTTGTTTTGTTTTTATGTATTTTTAAAAAAAAAACACATTTCTGGTAACTTTTGAAATATGCAACAACAACAGGCCAGTAGAGCATATCAATATGATGAAATATTCCCTATCATCTTCTGTATCTGTGATTTGAAAAGGAGGGTTGCTCCTATGGTGGAAGAAGAGGCTGGAAAAAAAAGAAAAATCTGGAAGACAGCAACAGGAAGAGGAAAACAAGCCCATGAGACGCAGCTTGAATTGGGTATTTTGGCATCTGAGGCCCCATTCACACTAGCATTTTTGCAGTGAGGAGATCCGGGGTGAATCAATGTTGCAATTCCGAATTGAAGTTCCCACTATGTTTACTCTGATCAAATTTAACCCTGTTGACATTCACATTACCGTTTGTATCGATTCAAAATGGAGCCTCCATATCGATCACATTCAATCATTTTCGGTTTCTTTTTTTTTTAAACTGTCAATCAAGTGATGTGCATCTTTGTCACTGTGACATTTTGCAGGTCTTGCCCTGAATAAATCCTTTGCGAGAAACTCCAATGAAACTCTCCTTTGGGATAGGAACACTATCTCAGCCTCAGAGGATGGTCGTGGCATGTCAGGAGCTGCTGGGGCTGCTTCTCACTTTCTGGGCAGGGATTCTCAGCTGCTCCCTGTGGGAGACATCACACTCTTTTTGTCCCAGGAGACTTTTGGTGTGTGTGGGGGGGAACTTGGGGGGGGCTTTCTTGAGTTGCCATTGCCTCCCTGACTACACATTCCTCGTCCTCATCTTTTTTCTGTGCTGGAAATGGGCTGCTAGAAGCAGAGAGAGTGCAGCGGGATTTTTATTTCTATGGGAGCAACAGCTGATCCAGTCACAAACACCCCCCTCTTCCCCACTTTCCCTAATCCAGCATACATGCACGCACACACGCACACGCACACGCACACACACACACATTTTCCCTCCCTGCCTGCCTTAGCTCCTTCGACATTTGGTTCTCCACCAACTGACTCCTCAACCCTCTTCAACCCCCAATGCCAGCCGTGCAAACCCCAGTGCCAGAAACAAAACCCTCTGGGAGCCACACAAGTGCAAACTGTCAAACTTTTTTTAAAAAAAGATCCACACAGCACCATCTCTCCAAAAGAACCCCCTCCTTGACTTTGGTGACCTCTGGGCATCAGGCATTGCTGCTGATAGGGGGACAATTCACCAGCAGAAGTGGTTTAAAGGGACCACTTGACAGTACGTGAAATTTGAATCCACTGGATTTAAAGAGCCGGTATCTTCACCCATGCAACCGTGAGCACAGAGAGGGGAAAAACAATGGTGATTTGCCACCAAGCCAAGACCTGTGAGATAGGATGGTTTGTTCCTCCCCTCTTCCCATTAACCCCTCCCTTCTGGATTCCCTGAATGGAATCACCAGCAAGTTCCCATTGGCAGCTCCCTGATAAAACCTGGTGCTTTTGAAAAGACACGGAAGGGAATTCGATACTGGAAAAAACAGATTAAGGGGGATTTTCCCCAGGGCCCCCTTGAATTTAGGTTGGGAAAAAATTGGCACAAGTGTGAATGATCCTCTTTTAAACTTATTTGAAAACCACTTTATAATGTAGTGTGAACAACCCCTGAGCAAAGAACACGAAGCTTGCCTCTAGCCAAGGAAGGGGAATTTAAGTCACTCTGGGAGGAGGGGAAACTTCCCTTTTTCTCCTGCAGAAAAGTTGAGAGAATTAGAAATTCAATTGAAAAATTCCATGAGAGTGACACATTCTTTTCTGACATCATTAGATAGTGCCATGGCATCCCCTTGTCAGCTGGTCTGTGTTCATCTTACTTCTCCTGTCCCCATAACAGTAGCACTTTATTGCTTTGGTCACACTGCATTTAGAGAACTGTGTCCATTTGTAAGCAACATACAGTTGACCCTCCATATCCACAGATTCTTCATCCATGAATTCAACTATCCATGGCTTGAAAATATATTTCTTTAAAAATCCAAAAGGCAAACCTTGACTTTGCTTTTTTATATAGGGGACACCATATAATGAGACTTAAGCCATGGATTTTGTTATCCATGGGATGGTCCTGCAACCAAACCTCAGCAGAAAGCAAGGGGCCATTGTAGTTTAAGGACAACAGTGAAAAGCTGAAATGTGCCCAAAGAAAGGAAACCAAGATGGTAAGCAGCTTGAAAACAAAGCCCAACTAAAAATAGGTGAGAAAGATGGGTATTTTTAGCCAGGAGAATAGAAGGCTCAGAAGTGATGATAAATATCTCAAGAAAGTTCACACGGAAGACTGAGTGAGCTTGTTTGCTACTGCTCAAAAGGTCTGAACCCAAGTCAATTTATATTTATAAAAGAGATTGTTATTACTTAATATTAGGAGTA